CCGAAAGAAGACATGTGTCGCGAGAAGTTAACATGTCATTTAATCATCCTCAAGCCGGACAAAGGATCTGGTACTGTGATCATGACCAGGGCAGTTATATAAACAAAATGAAAGAAATACTAATGGACGAGAGCAAGTTCCAAATAGACAAGACATCGGATAACAACTACCTCACTGAAAACCTTATCGCACGGTAATTACATATTCTGTTACTACATGGCTACATATCCAAAACACCGTATAAACAACTGAAGCCAATGGGGACAGAAACACCACAGATGAGAGGCTCAACTAAAGTTCATTAACCCGGGACCCCTCTCAGATTAATTATGTGTATGCCAAAATCGTCATATCACAAACTCGCTCGATGGTTGGTGGAAATTCTAAATCCCGTTCGTAAGTCTTTAACATCCCATTGTTTAAAAGATTCTTTGAAACTTTCGAATTGCTTAGANTTGACCACATCTTTATTCGATAGAGGTGGATTCACTTTTCACCAATGTTCCGCTCCATGAGACAGTTGACTTTTTATGTGATTATATATTTCTTCAGGTAATTTTTCCCTTGCCATTCTTCTTGAATAATTTTTATGATTCGAAAACATTCGTTTTCAAATTGGAAGGAGCCACATACGAACAGATTGATGGTGTGGCCATAAGCAGTCCATTAGGCCCAATTCTAGCCGATGTATTTTTAGGAATGACTGAACAAAATCTTGCCAATATTATATCCCAGTCCACCTTGTACAGGCATTATGTGGACGATATTTTTATTCTTACGGAGAGTGAACATTTTGAATCCCTTTTGAGACAATTAAACTCTGTTCATCCACATCTTTCCGTATCCCACGAAGAAGAAAGCAATGATTCTCTAGCATGTTTGGATATAAGGATTACGAGGCGTTTAGATGATACATTACATCGTTCTGTCCACAGAAAAGCAACACGGAGTGGTCAATATCTACAGTTCTCTAGCTTCTCACCCATGGCTTACAAACGTGGACTCGTAAGAACTCTGTTCCATCGCGCCGGTAGAAATTGTTCCCCAGACACACTACAAGAAGAAGAAGAAGAATTTCTGAAGAAAACGTTGCTACCAAACGGTCACCCTGAAAGATTCATTGATATTCACAGTAAATAATCATCGCCAACCATTCCCCAGAAAGCCGTTTACATCAAACTATCTTTTAAGGGCGATCACCTTCTGAACGATGTGCGCCAACAGTTGAAGTCAGCCCTCAATCGCACATTCCCAGCTGCTCAACTCTAAATTATTGCCTCCGCTCGTGGAATCGATTTGGACAAACGTGTAGATAGTTGGCAATCCAGTTCTGTCTCACACAATGTATACCAGTTCACCTGCAGTTGCGGTGACGCGGTGACATAGACAGAACCAACCGTCAATTATCACAGCGGATGGCCGAACACATTCCAAAGTGGTTGGTCAAGTCGATGACACAACCCACGCCCAGTAATCAGGCGGTTACACTTAACCCGAGGTCATCAATTATAAAACACATTATGACAACCAAACACATAATTGATCCCGCTTCCTCCTTCAAACCGTTGTTACGTAACTGTAATGCAAAACGTTTGTCAATAAATGAGGCATTGCTAATCCGATTACATAATCCCGTTCTGTGAGCCCAAAATTTGTTGATCCAATCAGTTCACTTTCCGTGAAGTTGAACTACATTTTGTAATTCTATTAGCCCCTGTACATGTCCGTTCATTAGGATTTACAAATCTAATGTGCTATAAATGTGATTGTATGTATCAAAGTCGGCGATTGAGAAGATTAAACGAAATGTTAACATCTCGCGACATATGTCTTCCTTCGATCTTGATGCGACGGAAAAAAGGTGACCCAGTGTTTCAAATTACTGAGTCATTGTTGATCAACAGCGATCCACTTTGCATCAGTCGATCAGATGAGGGGGACCAGTTATCTGTTCACTGGATTGATGGTACTCGCACAACCAACCGCTCACCCTTTCTCACTTCCTCTCACACACGCGCACCCATGAATACTGACAAATAACGATAAATCTCGCTACACTACAAAACTGCTCATAAACCAATCTCCCATCTCCTGTGACATCATTCTTGGCTCTTTGACCTCTTAGTACATTCACAACTTCCATGTTTTCATTGATTGCCACACACGAATACACACAACAACTCAATTTTTCCTTTACTCTAGACGAATCCTCCATTTGATTTGGGTTCTCTCACAGATTGTTTTGTTTAATGTTCACTTGATGACTTAAGAAAGGTCTTCGAAACAGATTGAAACTTCGCCAACCGAAAATTGTTGTTCCTGTTTGGCTTTTCTCTCATTGTGACTAATTGAAACATTCCTATACTCCACGGGCAGGACGCACAATTTCCTCAAATTTGAATACACTACCTTGAACAATGAAGTTCATTGTATCTAATTTGTGTGTTGATTCGATCTCTCTTTTCGGTTCGTTTCCAACTCCAACTCCGGCTAACCGCCGCCCCCCCCTCACCCATTTTCCTTTTGTTCCACGTTCGTTGTTTGATGCTACCAGTTCGTGTCTCTTGTTATGAATTGTGTGAACTCGTCCGTCCTCCACGATCACCAATCTCCTTCCCCCTAGTGCATTGAAGTATCGCAATCGAGAGTCTTGTGGTAGTTGCACGCGGATACATCAAGGTCATACCTCGGTGATCATTAAATCAACCCCGGAAATAACCGGGCTCAAGCGATCAGACCGAATGATTCGACAGTTCGAGTCGAATCGAATGTCACAAAATTCCGTTGATGCGTGACGTCTTCTCGGATCTGATTTTGTCATCAATGTGAAGAAGAACAGCAATGTGTGTGTGTCTGTGTGTGCATCGAATTAGACGAGTGCAAATGCAGTGACAACTGAGCGTCAAATTCGTGAAATCAAATTCGAAAGCTCAGGTAGTTGTTTCACTCATCCCAGTCAGTTATTTCTAGCTTTGTGTATCAGTGTGCGTTTGTCCCATCCTACTTTATTATCATTCCCCAGTTATTGTTCCTAGTTAACTTAAACAGAATTCCAATGTCTAACTATCTTTAGCCGCGTTTCTTCTATTCCTGAAAATGAGTTAATTGTGAAATTTTCAGAGTATTACCAACAACTTTCTGAGTGATATTCGCAGAGAGGATTCTTACAGANACAGATCCGGACCACTCCTTCCTTGCACGCAGAACTGACACAATGTCGCCCCATCCATCCACACGCTTTCAATTTTGCCACATTTCATCCCGTATAAAGGCTTATCGAAATTCACGTATATACCCCCCCTATCTTGCACGTTTATTCATAAACACTGAGAGGCTAACTCTGGACCACGATCACGTCCGAACGTCTGTAACGTCTGTGTTCTCTGTGACGGTTGGCATGGACAGCCGATTTTTGACTGAAACGCAAGCATCACTTCTCATAAATGGTATACACACAGAAAAGGTGAATTCGCGATATTTATAGTTCGTTTAATTACCAATGAACAGTTTGTGTGATCAGCTCTTCGATTTCGACTAATCTCTCAATTTGTGTTGTATGCCAAGGAAAAAGTTCAATCCTGTATCTTTTGTTGCTTCAAATCACCGAGCTCAGATTGCCGGTTCATGCAAACAATCAATAACTAGCTCCTCATAATCACAAAGTTGACCCAGTCTACGCTATGTGATACAGGAACCGCGGAAGTGGTGATTCTGTTCAACCTGCAATGTTGTTTCGATACGCAAATCAGTTGTAAGCGCCTTGCATTTCACTTGTACCGAATAGGACGATGCAACTCACTCTGGACGACTCATTGACCAGTGCCCTTGTGCGCTGAACTATATATATATATACTTATAAATATACATATATATACATATATATATATATATATACTTCACAAGCACTCATAATGTCACCTCGGCTGGTGATGAAACGTTTGCAAACAAATTGCCAAGCTCGGCGAACAGGCGAAATAGAATATATATATATATATATATATACATAATGTTAATCTAGTCCATTCGCTGTGTGAATATCCATGAAATGAAATATTGTTGTTGCGTAAGGTTGCACTGGTATTGCACTACTGACTGGCGCCTCGATACAAGAGTGAAGAGACCACGTGGAATGATTGTAGCTCGAGATGCGGATGTTGGTTTTGGTGAGCCCTATCAGCTGGAATTGTTGTTCGAAGATGTTTTGTAGCCNTATAGTTCTGTCTGAGGGTTCCGATTGGTTGTTTGCGCCCCTTTAATCCGTTTGCTGTGATTGAGTTTGCACACAAAACAACAGCGACAATGAGGGCTATCCTAGCCAGGCCAAAGGATCACCTGACAAAGGAAGATTTCTCAAACGTCATGTGCAACTTAAAGTCTCGGGACTGCTACGAATACTACGTGGGATAAACCAGTAGAAAACTCAAGACACGATTCCACGAACACACACTGACGGTCAAAAGACACGAGGAGAAATCAAAAATCTCGATCCACATGGATGATGTTGATCACGTTTTTGAACTGGACAACGTAAGAATAATCGGCAGAGGAATCTCCAAGTCAGTACGGGAATTCATCGAGGCATGGCACTCCATAAAGGACAGTATAAATGAGCATATAGGACTGGAACCTATCTATCACTATCTAAGGAAACACTGGTGATCCGAGGGTGCTACCGCTAGAACCGGTCCAAAACCAGTTCTAACCAGTTTGGAACCAGTTCAAAAACGGTTTGCGGTTGGTCTACGGAAGACTGTCGACCAATGAGAAAAAGGATGATCACCATGACAATGGAATAGCCAATCAAACCACAGCAAACGGCTGCTATTGACCAATAGGATTAAAGGGACGCAAATAGTCAATTGAAACCCTCAAAACGAACTATATGGTCCCGATCCCACTGGGGACTGGTGCTTCTCCGAAATCTCACTGATGATGTTACTTAGCTTGGCTACGAAGTGTCTGCGAACAACAATTCCAGCTCGGAGAACTCATCAACACCAACACCAGAATGAAGATTTTGTACGAATGCAACCAGAGAGAAGCTTTGATTCTTCTCTAGCAACACCTTGTGGAAGAGGAATTATCACATATGATGAGGATACTTGGTACAAGACTTCCATTATTGTGTTCCATCATTCCATCCCAACCGCCCATTTTGAATTATCCATCCTTAAATGTAAGCCCAGATACCTAAGCAATTACCGACCAATCATTCTCTCAACCATATTCATTTCTTATATCTCCTCTTCCCCACTCCCTCTAGATGAATTTTCAGAGATTTCAAATTCTTCCTCTGTTGTTTTAATGGAGCTGTTCTGGATGTTTCTCTTTCTATGGTGTACGCGATGATGTTAATCACTTTGATACGATATACTACTATATTATGTTTGAAAAATTTAGTAACAAAAATGAAGGCTACCATTGATCTACATTTTCTTTGTAAACCAATCTGAGATGTTTTCAAGTTCCGTTCGGTCTCCTATCGGATCCTCTGATCATGTTATTATAAAGATTTTCCCAGCAAAATCTTTAGCTCATTTAATCACAAAGCTTTTACGCATTACCGAAATCAGAAGCTTCAAAGTATAAATCTTCACCGCAAAACTATTACGGGGCTCAGGGATGTGGTTGCCTGGACAGAATTTTCCGTATTTTCTGACCTTGAAATATCTGCTTTCGATATTCACTTAGCTGACTATCTCAACGTCTGTTTTGATGTTTGCTATTCGATGTTATCGATTTTCTTTTCTACATCTGTGAAAAATAGAATGCGTGTTTAAATCTAAGGACTATTATTTAATGATGACCTAATCAAAGTTCATTTACATTTAAGTTTACCGTCTAAATCTCATGTATGCTCAACATATTCTGTCAATCGAATGCCATAGAGAAACCTGGCAAACGGTTAAACAGTTTTTCTGTTCTTCTTTCTATCAGTGAGTGTCCACTGTCTGCGGATATAGAGAAGGTATAAACTGTGAATTAATCAGACTAGCCAGACTACCCACTCGGTCACCGGTGAGCAACTGAGCAGATCGTTTTTCATTGTCCATTTACACAATATAGCATAACTCATCCTCGTGAGCTTGCTGCGGGTCACAGATCCTGCTCATTTCAGTATCAGCCTCCAGGGTTATGACTCGGTTGTCTGACTCCCGTCAACCTCTGAACTGTACATTGTTCAAATATATTTCAATCTCTTCTAATCACTTTAAATACAAATACGTCTAAGCACACACACAAAAGCGTACTACTCTTCCATAGTTCCTCATGTTCTCCGGTTTTTAAACTACCCGGACCGTATTGAACAAGGTTCTTTAATGGGTATCCATCAATATATTCATTTTTGTGGAATTTTTGGCAGCTGAATTAGCACCGAATGGTGTAATAATGCAATGTTTTGACTCGGCTTGACTAATAACCTCAATAATATTAATAATGATAACAATAATAATAGCAATACTGATGATAATAGTAATCAATATGCATAACTGAAACAAAAATACTAGTGATTCTGTAACCGAGTATTTTGATGTACAATGTTCAGGTCAGTTCAGTTTGTACAATCATTAATCATGCACGCACTAGCGGTTTTGGTTGCTGTATTTTGGCTGCCCATTTTGATGAGCAATATGACAAAGAAGCGCAAGGTTGAAGGTAGAATCGAACAAAAAGTGGAGAATTTCAGTGGTCCAGGATTGCAAAGAAATTGAGAAGATAAACAAAAGCCACTGTTTACGCTACTCAACCATATTACTCAGTGTCTCTAAACATCAGTTATTAACATCCCGATGTCCCGAGACAGGGAGCCTAACGGGACCTATGTGACCCAAACTCCTGATTAGGGTTTTCATATCCTCATGACAGGTCTTAGGTTGACCACCCTGGCTTACTTCCACCCATTATCTGGCTCGACGACATTGCTCTCCGTGGCAACCTATCTGGTGACGCGCGTATTACATCCCCCAGCTAACGTAATCTATGGAGGTCGATCACTTATTTCAGTGAGTGGGCGGCCGCGAATACCCAAAACTCTGCACCTAACCTCAGCCGTACCCGTCCAGTTTAACCACTAGATTCATGCAATGCTGTGTAGACAGCGGTTTTCAAACACGGAAAGTCTATCTTGATCCTGTTTTCCTAATGGCCAAGTTTCCGCACCATATAGTAGAACTGACCGAACTACTGCAGCATACACTCGACCCTTTACAGAAACCCGGATGTCGCGACGGCGCCATGGATTTCTCAAGTTAGAAAATGCTAACTGAGCCTCTTACATGCGAGCTGCCACTTCATCCGTGATGGTGAGACGTCATGTGAGTAATTGAGGATTTGATTAAATTTCTTACGGGAATTCGTCGTATATATAGCAAATGAAGCGTGAACTGAAAAGCTAGGAAGCACTGGACAGCTGTTTTGACCTGGTTGGGTCTCATCATCAGTACGAATCCATCGACCCAACTGGGAATTGAACCCGGGACTTCATGGGAAGAACGCAAGCATCCTATCCACTCGGACACCGGTAGGCAGCTGATCAGACCGTTTTTCATTTTCCATTTACACGATATAGCAGTAATTCCTAGCTTTTCAGTTTACACTTCATTTGCTACATGCACGATAAATTCCCGTACGGTGAGATGTAGCTGCTCAAATAAGTAAACCTATCCACCTGGTCTATGACTTCCCCGATTAGAGTGAGGCTGGGTGCTGGACCAACTCAATGAGGTTTGGGATTAAATTATAACCATACCTGAATTGTCGCAATTTTGTCTCGAACCTTTATTTGGGTCACTCTGTTTGAGCTTAACGATTGTTGTTTTT